GAGTGATATCACAATAGCAGTTCAGAGACATGTTATATTCACGTAGGAAAATAATAGCTTGTGGAGGAGTTAGAGATAAAGGGTTGTCCTTACAACATCTATTTGTAGATAGCATGGCATTTTTATCACTTGTCATTAGAAGAAAAATAATGTCAGTAAGCTACGTTATTTACCCAACAGGAACAAAATGCATGTATGTACATACATGTATATAACCTATGTACATTTTTGTGGGTATGTGTTTCTATCTGCATGGACACGTGTTGAATTGAGGTAGAAGGAGATTGGGTTGTATTAGTTTTGGTACGATGGTTCTGTATGTAACTGAGACAATATTACTTCAATTGTGCTTAATAATTAACAGGGGCAATGTTTGCAGCCAGTCCTATATCACACATACACAGACACAAACATTCACGAGAACACAGACACACTTATGGAACACTGTATATACATATAGTGTCCCAAGTATGTGTGTGCATGTTTATCTGTAAATTAAAAGTAAACTTTTGCTAAAATGTAGCAGGAAAAAAATCAGTGAAGGACTATATTAATGCTTCTCACTTAAATCAGAGAGAAGCATTCTGAATTCAAATCAAACATCACTTATGGCCACAATTGAATACATAGTGATTACTTTTAAAATTTGTAAACATGCACAAAATACAGTATCACCATAAAACCTCTATTATGACTTCACATTTATATTATAAAAAAATTACATATTTTTTTTAACTGGACAAAAGTCTACTTGAAAAGAAAATGACTAATACTGTGTTTTATTTATTACAACTGAACGCTTGAAGGTTATTAGTGTATGTGTGAAAAGAAAATGAAATGGAAAGTGGCTACATTGCACAATTCCAGGGAGTAAATAGAAAATTTAAAAAAAAATTGTGGCCCCTAAAGTTGTGCAACATGACAACCCTCAGGGATATTAGCCATGTTCTGAGCTATATTTATAATGTGACTAAAGTAAGTCCACTTCAATGAATTGATCTCTATGCATTCATTGAATGTCTACCGTTGATTAATACTTCAAGATAATGTGTAATAGTCATGCATATCAGCTGTATTTCTGAGTCCTAATGCAGTTAATTTAATTTCCACTAAGAGAGTAAATACAAAACTTGAAGTGGGGAGAAAGTAAGATGTGTAGAGATGTACTAGTTTATGCTCTAGAGCACTCCAGGTACTTTCCTGTTTGTTCAAAACCTCACCTGAAAGTGATTGGAGACACAGAAATTCTTCCGGTTGGTTGTTTCTGTTTGCTTCTTTGTTGTTGTTTTCCTCTCTTGCTTTCTATAAAGCTAAAAGTCATCAGGCTAAAATCAGTGAATTTAATACATATTTAAATTTGGGAAATCATTCTTAATGACAATTTTTAATGCCTTTATATATTTCATTGTCAATCTTTACATGATGTTCCCAAAACTAAGACACAAAGTGTACTCCTGTGGGAGATATTGTTGATACAAAGCTCAAACCATATAACTAATTGCTTATAGTTGTATACCATTTAAACTCAAGAAACTTATGCATTTGTGTTATCCAAGATGTTTACTATCACTGTTTAGTCTTTGGGTACATATTTTGAGGGTGTAGAATTTCCCTTGGTCCTTTCCTCTGAGTCCTTTCAAATTAATTGTCCGTCAGCTGCTTCCCTGTCTTCAGGGATATGAAAATCCCTCAGGTTATACTTTGTTGAATCAGGATGTAACTAGCTTCTTAAACAGGACTGCTATTCCAGACCATGTAGAGTAAATTTCCTTCAATCTACTCCCTCCCGATGATTTAAACCTGAGTTTTCAGAGCTACATTATTATTGAAAATTGGATTGCTTAATTTAATTTTCAAATGAATCTGTTTCTCTAAGAATGGAGTTCTTAAATAATTGAAAAAACATGTCTTTTTGAGACATTTTATACATCAGATACAAATGAGTCAGAAAAATTTATCTATATCTAGTGGTTTCTGGGGGCCCCTGTTGGCTCTAGAACAATGCTATGTAGGCAAGTGTCTACATAGAAGATCACATTCTTCAGAAAATAGTTGTCTGTCCCTGAAACATTGAGTATTATGACAGATTTTATTTCATGATATTGGCAATAAAACGTATTAAATTCCCCTGCTGTGGGAGGAAAGACTAGAAGTGCCTATGAATGGATAAAGACATTGTTTTCCTGCAAACAAAGTGGCACTTTTAGTAACATTAAGATTAATTATGTACTGAGATATTCGATGAAATTATGCACTATATTTATTTTACAAATATATGATGAACACTGTTTACATGTAACAGCTAAATTTAAAACAATAAAATCTTGTCATTGCTTACAATCTGACGGTATATCCTTTGTCACTGGGAAATCTATTAAGTAAAGTAAACATATGGAAAGCTTTTATTTTAAAAAGTATATTGCAACTACATTTTCAGAGATGAAAAGATCCCCTTAGCTAAGCAGACCAAAAGAATACATTACTAGCATCTTAGAAACCATCCCTATGACCATTGCAAATAGATGTCAATTATGACAGGTTCATTTTCCTGTTTTTGAGGCATATATTAGTAAAATCATACAGCTTTTGCATTTTTTTGTCTTGCTCATTTTGCTCAACATTCTGTTTGCGAGATTTCTCCTTGTTTTTACATGTGGAGATACTTCATTCATCCTCACTGCTGGGTAGTTTGCCAGAGGATAAAGTTACCATAAAGTTACTTACCTCATTTGGAACAGGAGTCAGCAAACTACGGTGCATAAAGTTTTTATTGGACTTGGGATATGTTATCTTATTTATATATGGTGGATATTTTTTTCTTTCTGTCATACAAGAAATATTCTGAATGATTATGACAAGGGTTTGTGGTTTGCACTCTCTAAAATATTCACTACTTAGCACTTTTGGGAAAAGTTCGTCAACTCTTGATCTATTGTGTTGATAAAAATTTGTGTTATTTTCAGTTTTTATGCTGTTGTAGATAAGGCAATAGTGAATATAATCGTACATATCTTGGGTGAACAGATTAATTCATTTCCCTTGGGAATAAAGCTACGAATGGAGTTTTGAGGTCAAGGACATTTATATGTCTAGATTTAGTAGACACTACCATACAGTTTTTGTTTTGTTTTGTTTGTGAGGAAGGTTAGCCCTGAGCTAACTGCTGCCGATCCTCCTCTTTTTGCTAAGGAAGACTGGCCCTGAGCTAACATTCGTGCCCATCTTCCTCTACTTTACATGTGAGACGCCTACCACAGCATGGAGTTGCAAGTGGTGCCATGTCTGCACCCAGGATCTGAACTGTCTAACCCTGGACTGTCAAAGCGGAAGGTGCGCACTTAACCTCTGCGCCATCAGGCCGGCCCCCTACCATAGAGTTTTACAAAATAAAATGCCAATTCTCATTTCTACTCAAAATGTGTAAGACTGACAGTCTTTCTACATCTTCATTAATATGTGATATTGCCATTGTTTTTATTTTAAGCAATCTGTGGTTTAGTCACAATACTGCATTTAGGTATTTATTTTTATTTCCTTGAATACCAATAAAGTCGGATATCCACTTCTATGTCATGCCTATGAATCTCTGAATTTGAACAACATGCCACTATAAGGGTCATATTTAAGTATTTGATCTTTTGAAGTTCATACTATCTGGCTGGATTCATTGTCTCCATTATTTCAGGTTAAAACAGTCTAGATGTGACAAAACTTTTGTATTAAAAAAAAGTGATTCATCTTTTTTTCTTTTTTCAAAACATTTGCAATACTTGGATGGGTTTACACAGCAGTAGATTCATATTTTATAAAGACAGATTGCATCAACTGGAAAGGACCTTAGAGCTAACCGAGGTGAAGTCCTTCTTTTACATAAGGGTAACATGGGTATAGAAAGAAAGAGTGGCATGTTATATACCACGGTGATTTAGAGTTGCATTCTTAGCTGGTTCATAGCATGGTTCTATAAAAAGACACGTCCAGGGAGGTTAAAAATTGACACCTCTGGCTTTAACACTGGATCTCCTATTTATTGGGTTATTGAACATTATCACTGCTCTAATTCTAACAAATGTAGTTACACAACTTATCCCCACCATATGTCTATCTGTTCTCTCTAGTAGATATATACCCAAACCTACCTTTGCTATGTCATACTTGTGCTTAAGGATTCAGTGACAAGGATAAAAGGAGTCAAGCTATAAAACTTGACCATAATATTAACACAGTACACACAGTGATTTATAGCATTGTATTTGGACAATGATATTTGCCATGACTCGTTGGTGGATGTCTGAGAAGGATATGATATGAAAAGACTAATCAGGGAAAGGAATCATTTTGATTAAGCTTTTGCAGAGGACACTCATTTATTTATTCAAAAAATGTTTTTGGACGGAATCCTCTCACCAAGCACAGCAAATTTCAAAATAGAAATATTGGGGAAGAAGACAGACAAGAGCTTTGCATTTAAAGAACTTTGAGTTAGGATAGTAGTCTTTTATTCATTCTTATTTGTTAATTTACTGCTTATACGCTTCTAAGTGTTATGATGGAACATTTATAGGGTGACACTAGCACAAAGAAAATATGCAAATAAACCTAATTTAACCCACAAGCACTTCCTTCAAATAAGCAAGTTTATTAAACCCATTGTTTAAAAATATGCATTGGAATCTAGAAACCTTAGAAGGCAAGTTGAATTGGTATCGGGGGAAGGGCTGCTCTGCCCATGATATCTCACTGGAACATACCTACGAACAGAGAATGGAGGTATAAAAAACCCTTTTTGCAAAATAAGCTGATCCTATGACTACTCTTAACGAGGTTGGAGAGAAAATTAAGATCAATAAGGAAGGCTCCGTACACTCAATTTAGGCACAATGATAAATCATAAATGATATCTAGAATGTGTATTGATGAGACTACAGGAACTCATGGCAAAGTACCTAAACTTAGGTCTCAAAATCTTTAAATAAATACTTTTGGGTGAAAACACAGTTTCACCCAGGAGATAATTTAATGCTAATTGCTTTTTTCAGGGCACCTTTCACATCCTTATTCCTTAAGCTGTAGATCAGTGGATTTAACATAGGGATGACAACTGTGTAGAAAACGGAGGCCATTTTATCCGTGTCCATAGAGTAACTCGAGCTGGGTCGCAAATACATAAAGAGGAGTGTGCCATGAAATACAGCCACAGCAGTCAGGTGGGAGGCACATGTAGAGAAGGCTTTGTATCTTCCCTCGGCTGAGTTCATTCTAAGGATGGTAGTTATTATGTAGATGTAGGAGAGGAGGACAGTGACAATGCTGCAACCTACGACACAGGTACTGAAAGTGAACAAGACTATTTCATTGACGGTTGTATCTGAGGTGGACAGGGCTAGTAAGGGTGGGATATCACAGAAAAAGTGATTGATGATATTGGAATTGCAGAATGACAGCTGAAATATGCAACAGGTGAAGATTGTGGAATCAATCAAACCTTCAATGTACACAATGGACACTAGCTGGGTACAGACTCTCCTGGACATCGCGATTGTGTAAAGAAGTGGATTGCAAATAGCTACATAACGGTCATATGCCATGACAGCCAACATAAGACATTCCACATCCGCAAAGACACCCCAAAAATACATCTGGATGGCACAGAAACTATATGGAATCCTCTTTTGCTCAGATAAGAAATCAACCAACATCTTTGGAGAAACAGTGGTGGAGTAGCAGACATCACAGAAAGACAGATTGCTCAAGAAATAATACATGGGTGTGTGGAGACTGGAGTCCATCTTGATCAGCAGGATCATCCCTAGATTGGCAATCACAGTTATGCCATAAGCCAGCAGAAAGAGTACAAAGAGACCCTGCTGCACATCCTGCCTGTCAGAAAGTCCTAGGAAAATGAAGTCAGTAATCACGGTGCAGTTCTCAACAACCATCATTCCGGTCTGGAAATCCCTGGTTTTGAAAGAATGAAATAGAAGTGGAAGATAATATCATCTTACTATTTTAATTGTTAAACTGCTGGTCCTTTCTATTTTACACTTATTAGAAAAAGATAAACAATGTTAAGCCTGATGTAGGGAAACTGACTCTCCCGGAAATATAACCAGTTTAATATAAAATGATAATGACAATATCCCACTCTCATTTGTACAACACTGTACAGAGTTTGTAGTGCACTTTAACCTAAATTAAATCATTCTATTTCCATGTGAACCCATGTCGTATTTATGATAATCTTTGCTACTTCTGTCTTATAGATAAGAAATTTATGTCCTCAGAGTCAAGGCAATAGTTTTCACAATTAGTTGGAGCAGATAACCCAGATCTTATGACAAGACTGCTCTGTTTTCAATGCTGTTAGTTCCTGTAATAGAGAAGCATAGTTAAGTGAGATGTGTAGGTAATGAATAATTTCCTTTGTTTTTCTGACATCATTCAAAATTGTGGAGCAGCAAAACTATGGATATAACTTGTCCCCATTTCCCCATTAACCCTTCAGCTCATATCTATTCTCAATAAACAAGGAATAGGAGAGTCTGAGTTTCAGGACCCTCTGAAGCAGGGAGGGCAGTGGTTGCTGGAGAAGAGGGTGGAAGGGTCTCCATGAGTGTTGCACTAGAGTGCACAGACAGAAATACGCCAGGGCTAAACAGGCTCCCTCTGACAGTTGTTGTGGCTCAGGGGAGAGTATGAAGAATGTTTGGGACCTTACTCTAGGGATGCTGGTAACACAGATGATAGAGAAGCAAGAAAGGGAGTATGGTTGCTGTGTAAATCGCTCTGCCCTAATTGACTAGAATCCTCTTGACCTATTCAGCATCAGATAAGATTTGTAAGACAGGTGATAAAAGGACTCATGTGTCCAAATTCTAATGTTTTCAGAGAATCATGTCTGAACTGTGCCCCCATCACAATCCCTAGAAATTGTAATATTGTTTAATTGTTTTCTTTGATTCCTATTTCTCTTGAGTATCTCTGAAATCTGCTTCTCTTTGGTTTAAAAGAGATAGTGGTCCTTGAGAGGCCAACTGAATTCTATGTCCCACCGCTATATTTTACTCAAACCAATTATGTTATGTATAATGTCATGCATGAACTACTCCTCTGTTCTGTGAGAATATAAGAAATGTGGAGTTGAAGACAGATGACGGTCAGAAAAACTACATCTGCATACTGATTTAGTGATCAATGTGCAAGTCTCCAAAAACTCGCAACACATTCATTAAAATATCTATCCCTGTAGAAACATCATTAAACAAATATTTTCCCTAAAAATGAAAATATTTTTAAAAGCATATAAAAGTACAGATAAAAGATTAAAAACAATCTAAACTAAAAATGTCCTACTTCCTCCACAAACATGCTTGCAAATTATCGTAAGCTCTGCTATCCTGTATATATGTTTTAAAATAAATAGATTTATAAAAATGATTAAAATCAATCTATTTGTTTATACATATGTATCTTTTTAAAATAGATTGATAAAAATAATTAAAATAAAGTTTTTCATATTTTTTCATACCTTCCTTGTTTTTCTAACATGCTTAATGTGAAGGCTAAAAGAACTAAAGAAATCCACAATATAAATGACAGAAACAATAAAAAGTATTAGTACCTGACCCAGAACTACTGACTCCTTGGTTACATGCAGTTCTCTCTGCAGGAGGGTTCAGCATTGTTTCCTCACTGGCATGGATTATATTATCATGTCTGTGTCTGGTCCCTGGGTGTTGACCACTTGGTCTCTTGAGAATAAGTGACTCATGTAACAACATGGTTTATCATTTGATGTATCATACGAGTAGGGTGATTGAGAAAAAATGCAGATCATTTTTTTAATTTTTCCTTTTGTTCCTATCTACCTTACTGCCCCAAATTTTACCTATTTAACAATAGTAAAGATCCAAAGAGCATTTCTTTTTTCCATTTCTCTGGTCCATTTATAAAGATTTTGTTTTATTTCTATAATTTGCAAATCAAATATGCACCCACTGATACTCACACTTACATAGACACATATGCACACTCCTCATTAAACACATTCATAAAATAAAGATTTTTGTAGACAGTGAAAGCTAACCATATTTTCACTGCTTAAGGATAACTGGATGTATTGTTTATACTATCAAATTTTTAAACAAAAATAAGATCAGAATAAACATACTTATATATATATAAATAAATAAGTATTAAGATTATAGGCAATGCATTCCTTTCTAATATTGACATTCATTTATTCAGTCTATCCTCTTCTAAGGGCCGCTTGGTTTATACACAATCTTTGTATCAAAAAATTGTCATATGAGTAAAATCATGCATCCATAGTTTATCACAGGCGGATGTTATTTTTAAATAAATCTTAAGAGATAGCCTTTAAAAGCAAAGAGATATACTTTTAAATAAAGGCAAAATATGGCCTTCTTACCATAGTCAGATGTTTTATATTATCTATTTATCACTCTATATTTTCATTTATTTTATATATTATCACATATGCCCTGATTTGTCTCCAATAGTCTCATAATATTTTACACAAATTGAAAGCCAGTCATGACAAAGAAACTGGAGTCTATTAGACATTAAAGTTCACTGAAATCATAGAAATATCTCACAATAGATACCCGAATATGAGGAAATGAAACAAATGTGTCTGAACAGATAATTCTCTCAAGTATTCTTATAGAATGTTATACTATGCTTATATTAGTGACATTTGAAAATTCACGAAATTAATGACCCATTGACTTCAGATTTCTGAAAGAAGTGACAGACCATCTAAGTCCCACCTCTAAACAAAGGCAGGATCTCAACAGTGATTGAGAGCAGAGGGGTTGCCACATTGGGAGGAAATCTGTTTTATTTTTATCAACTGTGCACTTAAACATTATGATTATTAATGTGAAGAGAAGTGTGGTGGAGGGTGAGCTGCATTGCACACTTTCAGGAAGCAAAGAGAAAGTAAAGAAATTGGTGCCCCTTGACATTGTACAACCTGGCATCTTTGGGGGATAATCTCTGTATTGGCCATTTTTTTTCAGTATTATCTATCATGTTTGTGTGAATCACTGCTGTACAATTACAAGCACGGGTGCTTTGGCTTTTTCTTTTTGAATACTTACTGTTGATTAACATTCTAAAAGTTGTACTGTAGTCTGTACATTAGCTGTACATCTTGTATTAATGCAATTAAATTTATTGCCACAAAATTTATCAATGAGAAATTTGTGTCAACAAATAGCAAACAAAGATGAGCAAGGGATGTACTAGTTGTATGCATTCCGTTACTTGAGATAGTTTCCTATTTCTTCTGAAACCTCACCTGAAGTAAGCAGAAACATAGATGTGCTGAGGTTTTTTTGTTTACTCGTTTGCTTGTTGTTGTGGAGTTTTCCCTTGCTTTTCATAAAGATAGAATATTTTTCAGGCAAAAATCAATGAAATTGGTATCTTTAATTTTTGAAAAAGTGACTTTACTGACAATTTTTAATCCTTTTTATAATGTACTGTCATTATTTGCATGATGATCTCAATACTAAAATACTAAATGGACTCCTGTGAGAGATATTGTTGATGCAAATCTCAACCCACCTAAGTAATTGCCAATAATTTTACAACTGGTAAACTCAAGAAAATGATATATTTGTCGTACCTAAGAGCTTTGCTACCATTTTCTGCTTCTCTTGTGCATATTTGGAGGAGAAGTCATCCTTGTTTACCTTCCTCTGATTCCATTTCATACTCATTTTTCCTCAGGTGCTTCCACATCTCCAGTGATGCCAGAATCCTCAGGTTCCGCTATTCAGACAGGATCCTAACTTTATCTTCAAAAACATGGCTTCCCCTCCAGACCGTGATATGGGAATCAGAGGGTATAAAACAATAAGGTCATTTTATCCTGATCTAGAAAATAGGAGGAACTCAGCTTGAAATACACGAAGAGCATAGTTTCCAGGAAAATTGCCACAGAACTTAAGCGTGAGGTGCAGGTAGAGAAAGCTTTGAACCTCCCATAAGCAGAGTGGATCTTCAACATTGATAGGATAATAAAACAATAAGTGACAAGAAATCCTGAAATGGTACTCAATTCAATGAAGCCAAAAATGGTGAATGATATCAACTCATTAACCTGAGTATCTGAGCAGGAAAGGATGAAAAGTGGGGGCACATCACAGAATAAAGGGTTAATCTCATTTGTCCCACAGAAATATAGCGGAATAGTAAACACGTTCACTGTGTAGAGCAAGTGTTTTCTAATAGCCTTGTCCCAATCAAAGGCCATTACTGCCAGCAGTAGACCCTCAAATCTGCAAAGATATAGAAGACGAAAAATTGCAGAGCACAGCCATAAAAAGAAATTGATTTGTTACTGGCAAATAGGTCCACTTGAATTTTGGGCTCAATTGCCATGGAAAAACAGAGGTCACAGAAAGAGAGGAGGCTGAGGAAAAAGTACATCAGAGTATGAAGCTGTTTATCCATTCTACTTAGAATGATCATTGTAATATTTGCCAGGAGATTAATGAGACAAACAACTAGAAACATGGTAGCTTTGATCTAGGGGGTTATGGGTAATTCTCAAGGGAAAGAATTCAGTCAATGAAGCAATTTCCTCTGTACCTTCATATTGATTTGTAATAAACTGATGCAAAATTATCAAGGAAATAATAGATAAGGATTTGACTCTTCTGGATACCCAAAAAATACTATCTGTAAGATAGAATAAGACTAGTTTTTGAAAATTGTCTTCTTTACCCTCAGGATATAGCCCAACAAGTGTCACTTTTAAAGAGGCATTGTTGTCTTGTGAAAAAAATAAAAATGTCTAGGATAAGAAGTTGATAAACTTTGATTCTATATGTATATATCCTTCCTGAGATATGAGTTGTCTTAGCTTCTGTTGCCAAAAGTCAGGCAGTAGGTTTGAATGGACTGA